TTCAGCTGTTGTGATAGTGTTGACAACAACATGGCTGAAAGCTTTAATTCATGGATTTTGGGGCCAAGACATAAAACTATCATCACAATGCTTGAAGAAATAAGGATCAAATTGATGAGAAGAATAGGACAATTGAGGGAGTTATGTGATACTTGGATAACAAACATATCTCCAATGGCCCTAAAGGTATTGACAGAGAACACAACAAAGTCAATGAAGTGTAACCTTGAATGGAATGGTGAATATGGCTTTGAGGTTAAAGACAGCTGGGATAACACATTTGTTGTGAATCTAGGCAATCAAACATGTACTTGTAGATCTTGGATGCTAAGAGGTATACCTTGTTGCCATGTTATAGTTGCACTTTATTTTAAAAAATTGGAGCCCATTAACTATGTTGCACATTGGTATAGCAATGAGACTTATCTCAAGGTCTATAGTCACTACATTCAACCAATTACTAACATGAAAATGTGGCCACAGTCGACCAACCCTTCTGTTATACCACCTGTTATAAAAACACTACCAGGAAGGCCTAGAAAGTGTAGGAGAAAGGAGCATAATGAAAACAAAACAGGAAAATTGTCCAAGAGAGGTGTTGAGATAACCTGCAGTCTTTGTCATGCAAAGGGTCATAATAAGAGAGGTTGTCATTTGAATAATCAAGCTAATACATGCAGAGAAAGAGGAAAGGGGAGAGGATGTGAGACTAGTTCAACAAGGTCAAGTGTTGGTTCTTCTAGAGCACCAACTGAATCACAATCAAGCACAAAGAGAGGAAGAGGTCGACCAAGAGGTTCTACAAAACAAGTAATGTTTATAGTAATTCATTTAGTTGTTAATTTACATCTTAATCAGTCTAATATTTTTGTTGATCAACTTATGTTATAAGCTAGTGCTACTGGAAGGGGAAGAGGAACTGCAACTGGTAATAGAACAGGGATTGGTGTTGTTGCTGATGATTCTGGTGCCACTGGAAGGGAAAGAGAAACTGGAACTGGTTTAGCTGGAAGGGGAACTAGAACTGGTTTAGCTGGAAGGGGAAGAGGAACTGCAACTGGTGTAGTTGGAAGGGGAAGAGGAACTGGTGTAGCTGTTACTGCTACTGATGTTCCTGGTGCTACTGGAGGAGGGAAGAGGCCAAGAATGGTTGGAATGGGGATACTGCATACACAGAGTGGTTTTACAATCCACAATGTAAGTTGTCTTAATTATTTACACACTTTAAAATTTTAACTTATGAAGCATCTAAGACAACATATTTTTGTGAATCTAGCCTGAAATGCCTATGAACTATTCAATAGTGACTGGAAATCTTGGGCATCATAAACCAAGATCAGGCTTAAAATGGAAAGGAAAGGCTGCTGTAACTCAACAAGGTCTTCAAGAGATGAGAGAAAACAAAAGAATGAGAACAAAGTCTAATGTTGCTGAAGTTTGATATGGAGACTGCTTTAGTTTGATATTTTAGCTGTTTTTGGAACAATTATGCAGCTGTGACTGCATTAGTTTGATCTGTTTGTTTTTGAAACAATTATGTTGCAACTGTGACTGCATTAGTTTGATCTATGTTTATTTTTGAAACAGTTATGCAGTTGTGACTGCATTAGTTTGATATTTTAGCTGTCTCTTTTTGAAACAATTATGCAACCAGTTTTGCATTACTTTTATGTGTACAATTATGCAATTGTGACTGCAATTTAGTGAATGCAGTTGTAAATAAAACACAAACAAATACACAAACCACCAAATTACATTAAGAGAATAAGAAGAACTCATTACAAAAAAGTCTTGCACCTAATTAATTACAACATAAACAATGTTACACTACACCAACATTGATCTCACTACATCAACAACTTAAGGTAACTTCATTGAACCTTTCTTCATATATATCACCCAGAACCAATAGCTTATAGCTATAACCACAACACAACAACAAGCTACAACAAAAAATATCACATTCTGTCATGTTCTTCTCCATTCATTCTGCATTACTTTCATCTTCTCAGCATTCTTCTTGCAACATTTTTAATTTCATACCTAGACAATCATCATCTTGTTTGAAATCTCCCGGACTTGTTCAACTTCTTCAGTAACCTCAAACCAATTCAAAATGTAGTTGGCTGAGGTTTGAGAGGATTCTACTATATTCTCAAGCTCACCCAATTTCTGTATTAGTTTAGGAATCACAAATTTCGACATCGGGTCAATATTTTCTTTATCCTTCCAACACCAAAAGTTGCAAGATCTAGGACCCTTCAATAATGAAAAAAATGAAGGAATTAGTGGTTAATCAAATTCTTAATCGGCTAAAAAAATTTAAACAAAAATGATCTTTACCCCATAATAAGGACATGACGAATATCTTCTTCTGGGGTTATTTGAAGTCCAAGATGTTTTCAAACGCACCACAAGTCCATGATTACAATAAAAAAATTTCTTCGTAGTATAATCATCTTCTTCCATACAAAGATTTGTCAAATTAATTGATCGCATTGTGTGCTACAATTTTGTGCAAGAATTAACGAGAATCTGGAAAAAACAGAAAATAAGAAAAAGGGAGGAAAGAAAAATCAAAATAATAGATGAAGAAGAATAGGTTTGAATCTTACATTTTGAAGAACAATTCCTTCAAAGATTCAACTTTTAGGTTTGAATCTTACATTTTGAAGAACAATTCCTTCAAAGATTCAACTTTTAGGTTTGAATCTTACATTTTGAAGAACAATTCCTTCAAAGATTCAACTTTTAGGTTTGAATCTTACATTTTGAAGAACAATTCCTTCAAAGATTCAAAAATAATGAATTAGGTCACCATTTTTTGGATGATTGGGTTGGTGAGGGAGAAGAGGTATTTAGGGTTCTTCAAAAGTGAAGATTGTTCTTCAAATGGGTAATGGGTCGGATATTACCGTTGGGGGGGCAAATTTAATTTTTTAAAAATGTTAAAAGATGACTAACGCACCGTTCTAAGCTGTAACAACACGCGCACAAGGCTGGTGTTCGGAGGGTTGAAAATAATTCACATAAAAGATGTTAAGGGGGTATATAAACACCCGTGTAGTTTAAGTACTAAAGTAAGTTTTCGTGCCAAGTTCAGAGGGGTTTTTATGTATTTTCTCTTATTTTATTTAATCCATGGGTTGCTTATACACCACATGTAGTCTTATTTTATCCATAGGAAATGGAGGGATAACTAATCCAAGGTTTGTTAAACCTTGGATAAGATCCCTAAATAACAAAACTATCCCTTTATTCATTATTCTAATTTTCTTTTGTAATTTGATTTTTATTTATTTATATTGAAATAATTAGAAATGTTCTTTTTAATTCTCCAAATTTGTTTAGTGTAATATAATGATTTCACTAGTATTTTTTTCTCTTTTTTTTTAATTCAATGTAGTTCGTCGATTAACCACTTGAACTATTTTTTATATTAAGCTTTAGCTATTGAACAATATAAGTAGTCTTAAATCTATGTTAAGTTTAAGATACATTTGACCAACACCATGCCATCAAGGATCTCCTTAGTGGTACATCATACCTCAAAATTAATTATATATATATATATGTATGTATGTATGTATGTATGTATTTAACTTAACTAGTTAAATGAAATAGAAAATCCTACAAAAAAATATATTGTCCGGTGGTTATCTACCTTGACTCAATTACATGAAATAAACAATCTCATAATTAGAGCTGTCAAAACGGGCCAGCCCAGCCCTACCCCGCCCAAGCCTCGCGGGCCAAAGAATTTGATGGGCTGGGACGGGCCAACTCTTCATTTCAAAGGGCTGTAAAATGGTCAACCCGGCCCAACCCCAGAAGGGTCAAGGGCTGGGGCGGGCCAGCCCTTTTTTTTTTTATGTCAAATTAATGTCACAAACAGTAACATTGTTTCAATAATTCTAAAAAAAATCTAGCAATAAATATTTAAAGAAAAAATAATAATCTCTTAAGTAAATAATATCTGAAAAACAAACTAGTAAACTAAAGAACATTTCTGACTAAAACTTTAGTTAGCAATACATAATTACTTAAAGTATTTTGTTAAATAAAATCAAGAAACTAATTAATTGTTCAAGCCATAAAACATTCGATCATATATAATATAAATAGTGTTTACCATCCAAGTCTTATATTCAAAACTAAATAATAAAGAAATTCATGAGGTAAGCTCCTTAGAAAAACTCCACAAACACTTATTTAGGTTTTCTAGTTTTTAATTCTTATTTTTTTAATATTTATTTTAATTAAAATTAAATAATTTGGCCCATGGGCCGACCCCGGCCCGGCCCCAATCGAGCCTCAAGGGCTAAGGGCCTAAAAGGGTTGGGCTTATAAGCCCCGGTTTTAAACGGGCTTGTAAAATTCTATCCCAACCCTACCTCAATAACGGGTTGGGTCGGACCGACCCCATGGGCTAATCCCTTTTTGACGGCTCTACTCATAATAACACAAGGGTATAATAGGAAAGAATTTTTTTGTAGAGTTTTAAATCAAACACAAAATTAAGTGGAAAGCAATGAACCAAACACTTGACAAAAAATAATCTATGCACTACTAATCTCTACATTACTAATCCCTGTGTTATCAATGTTTGTACCAAACGACCCCTTAGACTCTTAGCTAAGACAACTAGTTACTGCAGAAATTTTTTTTATCAAAATATTTTTCAAATTGATTAATTAGCCAAACACAAATTATTATTCTCCAAAACACTTTTTCAAAAATCACTTTTCAAAATAAGTATGAGTTAAAATATGTAATAATGGAAAGTTGATATTGATTGAAAAAACTCAATCATCATCATTGAAAATAAGCATGAGTGAAAAATGATATTTGGGGTACCTGCGTTTAAAAATAAATATAGATCAACAGTTGTTGAAAGTTCTTCTTCAATGAACTCGCAAACTCATTGACGGTACAGCACGCAGGTGTCCCAGTCCATCAACAAATTTGTTTCAACCTTTTGTAATCCAAAAATTCCATAGAAGTAGAGAAACAGGTACTAATAAATTAGCACAGAAGTACTGTTCCATATTTTCTTTTGAGAAACAGAAGTAACTGTGATCTCCAGATCACTGCAAAAAACTGAACATTATCTAAAACACTGGATTTTGGTTATACTTTTACTAGGAACTAGTTTCATTTCATCATTCTAAAACTTAAAAACAATTTCTCATTTAAACTGCTGATATCCATTCCAACAGACACTGTCTGCATCACCGAGGAAGCCTCTCTTCTCTAGCCTCGAGGGCATCCACCTCTTCATTTGACAGGTGACTGACAATTGGTTCAAATGCATCACATTCACTCTTTCCCCTGAGAAGAGTCACATTTGAAATGAATGAATTTCAAAACTGGATGTGCTGATGAGATACGATTGAATTGAAATACATATGGAAAAGAATCCTCATTTCGATTTGACATTCATTTTTTATTCAGTGAGAGAATATTAAGAAAAAGCAAGAGTTGTACCGTTGGATACTTCCATCAGGGTCGAATAGCTTCCCCAGGTCCAGTGCAGGCGAACCTACTTTACTGTCAAAAAGATAATTATGAGGAAAGAGATGTACCGAGGATAATGTGTCTGTGATTTGATTGACCAAAGATCAACATAAACAGCATAGCTCAATGACACTAACCTGGCCGAGAGATGTTCCATTCCTCTGCGTCCTTTCTTATTTGTCCTGCTTTCTCTCACGGATGCAACACCTTGCTTTGCAATCTGAAAAGTTAAATGCCAAAAATAGTCAAAAGACCTTGAAGTGGCTGGCTTTCAACTATGAACACATAGTAGAAATCCAGGTAGAAACAAAATGAATGATATATTCTCACCTCATAAAGTTGTTCTCTAATTGCTATGGCAATTGCAGGCTACAAAAAAAGGAGACAACTATCAAGAAGAAAGTATACCCAGTTTTTTAAAATAAAAAGGATACTGAAAAATGACAGTCTCACATAGTTGAACAGATTGTTTAGGATGTAAGTAAAACACTGGGTATTAAAGAAAGTAACTACCCATGATTGTTTTGTAGGAGTAAAAAGTGAGAAAGTAACACAACTACAATTTAGTGCATTCCAAGAAGCTACACTACAGAAAAAATTCTCTTGATGGGATAATGTTGGGACAAAATCTCATTTGAGCTAAGTAAGAATCAGGCACTCACTATCTATTTTCATTGTTCAAATCTTTGACAACATTAGAAACCAATTGTTCAACTCTTTGACAACATGAAATAATCAAAAGCTCTGCCCTCCCTCTCTATGGTTAACCCAATAATGAAAGTTTCTTAAGGGGACTGGAGCAGGCTACCACGAGACAAAAGATCCTTTATCTAATGAGATTCAATATGGAACTCTTATATGTCCAGAGTTTACTTATACATGAACATATATATAGATTTTTTAACACATAAATACAAAGGCCTACAATATCGAGAGGTTTTAATATCCCTAATGCATGATTACCCTTTAAGACTATGTTGCTCTGACTCTTCAAAAATGTCAACGGGTGCATGTCGGATCCTCCAAAAATAGTGTATTTTTGAAGGATCCGACACGGGTGTGGCAACATTTTTGGAGAGTCCAAGCAACTTATCTTTATGATTTTGCTATTTCAATTTACAGCCCAATATCTTTCTGCTGTAATTGTAATGAAAGATCTTAATTGTATGTGTTTGTTCGTCCAATTCCAATCACGGGGCTATTAAACTCTGACAATATAAAAAGTAAGTAAGTTCAAGGCAAATCGCTCAACATTGGCTTCTCACAGTTGTGTCAAGATAAGCAATCTTTTCCTAAGACCAGTACAACAAAAAAGAGACTGGGGGAAAGAAAGGATGAAATATAGCAATTACAAGACAAGAACATTGTAAAAACATAACAATAGTAATTGTTTCCTGTGTGGAACACGATCTCTAGAGTACTCTTTTGAGCAAAGCCCAATATGTTGTCTATATTTTTAGGTTAAAGACCTATTATCCTACATTATTCATTACCTTCCCAATATCTTTTTGATAAGGTAAGATTTGATTGAGAAAAGGAACCATGATGGTACACATTACAAAAAAACAGCATCTATCACCAACATTCAGCCACATATCTCCCATCTCCTTCTAAGAATTCCATGCATTGCTCCATATTTTACTTAATACTCCTTGTACACCATAAATACATATTTACAGGACATCTATTCTTAGTCCTGGATATATGTTGTCTTTCCCCTTCAAACCAGACCCTATTTCTTTCCAGTCATATTGTCCATAAAAAACAAAGAGGGATTGTTCTCCAAACAGATTGTATACTCTTATCATTTTTTTATGTTGCCATGTCATCAATATGCTCTTAACACTGGGAGGTATTACCCACTTGACACCAAACATAACTATTTTCTTCTCTAAAACCAAGTTACTAAATTCCTCATATTCTCATACTCTGTCAATGGTCTAAGAAAGTTGAAATTATTTGACAGCATATTTTGTCAAATAAATTCAGCATTGAAGAAAACTAGGTCACTTTCTTGATTAAGGAACTGTGCATTTTGCTAGAATATCCCTCATGAGACTATAATGAGACCTAATGGAATTTTAATTCTATGATTCCCCTTCACCAATCCTCCCCCATTTACAAATTACAGAAAGATCTTCCTAATTGTAGCAAAATAGGAGGGAGGTTAATTTTATCTGCACAAGTTGCAAATATTAAACCCAAAATATTCAGTTTCGCATCAGAGATGAGGAAGTATCATGGAATTTGAATGTTGAATCTTGAGAGCACAGGACTAAATTTTTGGTGCCACAATTGTCTCTGGCTGGCTGATATACACTCTAGTTAACCCCAAAAAACAATCAAACAGAGATGGGAAGAAAAAGAAGTATAGAAGGGCACCCCCTTTAACTTCATCACCCCATAACTTAGAAGTATATCAGTATGATGAACATCAAACTTACAACGAATATGCAATAACAAATGATAATTTTATGAGATGGAAACACAAACACTATTTTTATTCTCAACCAACAGAAAGGAAATAAATAGAGCTTACTCCAACTTCTGGCTCTTCAATTTTCATATCTTCACAAAATGTCCGTGCAAATTCTTCAGGATCACCCTCAAAATTGTTCATGTCCTGAAATTATTTTATTTCTCTTTGTATTAGCAACAAATGAGGCAGAGTAGTTGCTAATTTGATCACAGTTCATACCAAAGCAAGATAGATGAAGATTGAAGAATGAGACATCCAACAACTTACCCAGAAAAACTGGTCCTTTATAACTGTGTGATTTACTTGGAGATCAAGCTGGATGAGCCCGGAAAAGAAAGGGAAATAGATAAATACAAGTACCTAATTCAAATGATGAACCCTCGGCAGTTGAGACCACCAAAGTCAGTAAGATAGGTCTCTTTCACAGTAATTTTTTTTTTGGGATGAATAATCTTTCAACGTAATGTCATCAATATCAACAAAAACAAATGTGACAAACCTTGATAGGAACAACTTTCTCGCCAGTGTGCATATCTTGTCCTTCGTATGACCGAAATTCTATCAATTGTGACTACAAAATTGGAAAAGGAGAAACCAATAAGACTTAAGTTACAGGAAACAACAGAAAAAGAAGCATGTACCCTAAGCAGTCCTTTTGCAACAGAGGTCGGCAAACACTAGAGCAATACCAAGTTTTTATCCAGAAAAAGGAATAACAGACATAAAGGATTTTTTTTTTTGAGAAAGGTAACTTGTATTATAAACAAAAGAATACATAAGGAGTATTCTAGTAATACTTACATCCAAAAGTTGCAAAGGGAAAAGAACTCCTATGGAGGTCATAAGAACTCTAAAATACTAGGAATATCCTCTGCATCTTGAGGATATTCATGTTTACACCAAAAAAAGAAAAGAACCAGGCAATTCAGCTTCAAATTCTGCATAGAGCAGCTCTTGTTTTTAAAACATCTTTGGTTCCTCTCCATCCATATAGACCACCAAATGCAGACATAAAGGATTTTTTTAAAGATCAGTGAACAAATAACAACCAGAATACTTGTTGAGGTTTCTCCAAATTATACTATTCTGTAATAGACAAAAGACTTACGTTAACATCTTATGAACAGCCTTTTGGTCTTTTATCCAGATCTGCCTAGGGAGTTACGTCACTCAACTTGCACTCCAAGTACTCTGTCTTAGTCATGTTCAACCTGAACCCTTTAGACTGCGGAGTCTATCTCCAAACATCCGTCCTATCATTAACTTAGTCGTGTGTCTCATCAATCAATACTATATCATCTATAAATAACATATACCATGACACTTCACCCTGAATATGCCACGTCAGTTCATCTATCACCAAGGCAGATAATAACGGGCTAAGAGTTGATCCCTATGCAAACCATCTCGGCTCAAAAGTGTTCCGAGTCTCCTGCCATTGTCCCCACTCGAGTTTTGGCTCTATTGTACATGTTCTTAATCATCCAAACCAATTAAATAAACCGATTTTATTTGGGTTTGGTTTGGTTTTACATTTTTAAAAATTGATAATATTTGTTTTGGTTGTGTACAAAAAAAACCCAAAGAAATAACCGAACCGACAACTTCTATATATATATATATATATAATATTTTTTATGAACAATTTTAAATATCTTGAATATATATTAATCAAAATGTATTGATAATTTATTTATGAAAGCAAAATGGCAAAGATAGCTTCTCCCTACGGGGGAAGACCTCAACTCATTACACATATGTAACACCTCGCAAATTCTATGTTAAGGAAACCATTCGTCGTGAGCGTATCAAATTGAACTGGGATATCCTACTTGTACATGTGTGTTAAGGTTCAATCCTATGTGCGGGAAGTGTATCGGATGTGGTTTAGGGTCATAAGGGACCTCTAACACCAAAGCAAGTTCAAAGTATTTTATCAGCTAAGTTTATTTTGCATGAGTTAATATAAGGGTTAATTTCAAACAACCATATCTTTCGGATTATAATGAGTTAGATGACCCATGACCTATCAAATTAAAAGTCTACTAGTGTTCTTTCCAACGTCACCGATCGTTTGTCAATCAGAGTCTAGAGTAAAAGGTTATGACCGATTTACCAGAGATGCTCCAACCTGGCTAACAAGTCCACTATCAAGTCTGCATCACAGAGAGGAAGCGGACCTCATTGTCCACTTGAGTAAAACTTCGTCTTCCAGCTCCGTGACACAGAGCCAACAAGGACCTAGGCCAAGATTTGCCGTTTCTTTTTTATTTTTAGGGGGTATTTTTGTCCTAAAAACCTTTGGGGAGTTATCCAAATGTCCCTAAGCGTGTACGAAATCAGTTTTCATAATTAAACCCTCTCATTCAATCCTAAATTCCTATGCTCAAGAACTTCAAGAGAAACACTAAGGCCAGGGTTCATCTTCCAAGGTTCTTCATCAAATTTCATCACTAAGATATGTAAAGTTATCTCCACGAGTAGGAACACCTTGTTCTTCCCCATGAACTACATTTCGATGGTTTCAAACCCCACTTTCTTGAATTGTTCTTGAGTCTTCATGAAAGCTTGAGAACTCTCCATGAAAGTGTTTCAATTTCTTGATAACTCTTAATCCATGAGTTTTTCAAGATTTCCTCCATGAAATTATGAATAATTATGAAAGTAACGGTTTATATCTTGACAACTAAGTCTAATGGTTTCTTAATGACTTTTTAATAGTTTCTTAGTGGTTTCTTGATGCTAGTAAAAGAAGAAGAAAACAATGAAGAAAGCATAGCAGTTAATAAGAAAAGCGATGTAAAGTCTATAGGAAAGAAACAATAACAACAACCTCTCTTAGTTGTTGGTATAAGACATAAAGTTTTCTTGTTCGATATAGAGTGCTCGTTTGGTGGGAGGGATTAGGAAAAATATCCCTCCAAAAAATCATACATAAGAGAACAATGTTTGGCTTGGGGTGGAGGGATGAGGCAAAAATATAATTCCCGTAATACTAATGCAATATTTTATTTTATTTTATTTTTGAAACTGGTAAGGTTAAATTCTTCCGCATGTATGCTGGCTACCTCCTAAAAGGGATAATTACAGATTTCCTATCAAATCTATAATCTGATCTATATCATCTATTTTTTTTGAGAAAGGTAACATTACTTCTATATATCCACAGGTATACTACATCAAAGTGTAGTCCCCCTCCAAAAAGTTTTACTTACATCATTCCTAGGATCTTCTAGTTACAACCAGTCAATAATAAACACATTTTCAGCATCTCCTATCACTACTTGCTTACACCAAAAATAATAAAGCCCTAGGCAATTAGTCTTTATCTTCTGGATATTGTTCTGTTTTCCTTCAAAGCATCTTTGATTCCTTTCCTTCCAAATTGTCCACCAAATGCAAGCTGGGACAATCCTCCATCTCTTCTCATTTTTTCCTGCATTTCCATCCCTGTTCCAGCATTGTAGGACTTCTATAATACTCCCAGGCTTTGTCCACTTAATCTTCCTCTTTTGGATAAACATCTGCCACAATTGATCAGTCCATTTGCAGTGTAAAAAGAGATGGTTGACTGTCTCCACCTGTTCTTCACATAGATAGCAACTAGAGCGTAGATTGGGTTTCCTCTTGTTTAAGTTCTCATGTGTCAAGACTGCCTGCTTTGCCAAGAGCCATGTGAAGTAATTCACCTTGTAGGGAATTTCTGTTCTCCAGATCATCCTCCAGGGCCATCCTGCATGTTGCTCCTCCGTAGACCTGAGTTCTGGAAAATTATTATTTTATGAACCCTAGAATTATGAACTACGATTCTTTTTAGAAAGGTAACTTGAATTATGAACAAAGGAATACTTGCCGCCAAAATACAAGGAAGAGAAAACTACTACTACATCACAAATTATCAAGAATACTAGGAATATCCCCTTCTTTTTTAGGATATTCATGTTTACAACAAAAAAAGAAAAGGACCAGACAGTTCATCTTCAATTTTTGCAGTGAGTAGCTCTTGTTTTCAAAACATCTCTGGTTCCTTTCCATCCATATTATAGTCCACCAAATGCAGGCTGAGACAATCTTCCATCTCTCTGTATCCTAACTGATTTCCTTCTCTATTCCAACAAGCTAAAATTTATGCTCCTTGGCATAGTCCAGCTTATGCCCCTTAAGTTAAAGAAAATCTTCCATAACTTCACAGTCTCTACAATATAGAAAGAGATGGTTTATTGTCTCAATTTTACATTCACAAAAAGAGCAACTAGGACAAATTAGAAAACCTTTTTTCATTAGATTGTCGTGGATGAGTGTAACCTATTTGGTAGAAGCCAAGTAAAGTATGCTACCTTGAAAGGTATCTTGACTTTCAAGATCATCTTCCAAGGACAACTACCATCATGTGAGTTTGCTCTTTGTAACCTTCTGTAAGCTGAACCCACTATAAATCTTCCTTTCTTGTCAAGATTCCAAAATAAATTGTCCTCATTGGAATTTAGTTCGTTGTATTGTTCCAGAATATTGAATTCGCTATGCGGGGCGGGGAGGACTAATAATTTTGCGGGTTAAGTTAAACCCGCCCCCGCTTCACACCGCCCCATTGCCATCCCTACGACTCTTTTTATGCCCCTGGTGTAACAGCCCCTTCCGGTCATTATGAGTAAACCATTGGTGAAAAAAATTGGAAAACTTTTGAAGTAGTAAGTTGAAAATTTTGGGCAAGGCCAGTCTCAGACGAAATCTGAGCAAGGTGAGGTCTAGGGCAATCCAAAAATAGATGAGGTAAAATGTCTAAACTTAAATTGGTTTTCTATTAGCTAAGATAATAAGGAGTCTGTAAGGCTTTTCGAAATCGAATTCGGATAAGCAGAACTCCCAATTTTTAACTTGGCGTGAAGAGGTCGGTTTAACTACGTCGGAATTTGAAGTGTGTTGCAAAATATGCTATTTTGAGGTTCTATCCCGTGCAAGCCGCTATAGTGGGTTTTACGCCGCCATAGCGGAGGAAAAAAGTGGTCGGTCTAGGCCGTTATAGCGGGATTGGGGGCTCAAATGGGCTGCTGCAACGGGGTCACTCATGAATTAATGTAGAAAAAGTCTTAAAAATCGCTCATTATTCTGATTTCATTTTTATTTTTTTTTGATAACCGAGAAATCCGTCTGTGACCCGCCCTTTGGACCAATCACAGCCTTCTAAACTCGGTGGATAATGGGCCCTCCCCTCTACCCTTCTCCACTTAAATACCGGGCTTCGCTTTGCATGGTGTGGGGCTTGAACCTGCGACCTAAGCCACAAATCCTCCACCTTTTGCCACTTGAGCTAGGCCTTGGGGGCCTGATTTCATTTTTGGAGAAGAGAAAGTGTGACTTTGTGCAAATTTCAGCAGATATTCATCATGAATTTTCGTAAAGGTGAGCAATCTGATCCACTACTTTTGTAATTCGATTCCTAGGCCTCAGAGAAGGTAATTGTGGTCCTAGGGGAGGGTTTGGATTCATCCTAAGGTGAGGAAATCTAGGTTTATGAGGATTTATTATTGTAAGACATTGGGTTTTCTATAACACATTTGTTTTTTATTTATTTACCATAATTTATTAATATAACCATGGAATTGGTCATATAGGTGAATTAATAGTGGAAAAACCCTAGTTTGGGTGGAATAATTATAAGGTTGGCCTAGGGTTTGGGATTTGGATATACTCTGAGAATATTTAGGTCAATTGTGATTTATGTTGTACTTGTGTTGTTATTTTAGACTGAGAACAAGCTAAAACTTCATAAATGGATCAAAGGTTCATGATCCGACTTCTGCAGTAACTGTTTGGTGCCAAAGTAGGCTAAGTTTTCTCAACCGAGTAGTTAGACCTATATTTACTTATATAGTTGGGAAGTGTTGCTAAGATTAAAAGTTATCAGTCATATCGCTTAGGGCATAGTAATCCTATTCTTATTTCATGCCCAAGGTCTCCATGTTTCATGTCACATAACTTCATATAGAGGGCGAGACATGTTCAAATCTATATCATTCATGTTTTATGAACCCATGTTAGCTGACTAAGATACTCATACCCTACTAGTGCTTCATACTCAAATTTATCACACAAATCATGTCCATGATTCTTTTCCCAGAATGTTGTGAGACATTTCAATGAGAACATTCGAGGTAGTAGCTTTCTTCCTATAATGATCCTTAGAAACTCCATGTCTCAATTTGTTGTCTTGTAGTTTGATGTGAATGTTCATGCCATGTGTGCTCTAGTTGAGTTCCAAACTCTTAGTATGAACCAGTTATATCTATGTTAGTAGGCAAGTTCAAAAGTCAGACATATAGTAAGAGTCATTCTCTAATTTTAGACTCCATACCTATACTTTGTGTTTGAGTGTTTTAATCCATGTGTTAAGTTTGCTCCTTGTGTATTCCTTCAAATGTTAATGAAGGGTAAGAGTCATTCTCTAATTTTAGACTCCATACCTATACTTTGTGTTTGAGTGTTTTAATCCATGTGTTAAGTTTGCACCTTGTGTATTCCTTCAAAAGTTAATGAACTTGATGGAGAGTTTAGCTCATCGCTTAAGTTGGTTACCCTAGCTTGACCATCATTCGAGGAAGCATGATCCTAAGAGAGAGAGATTGTAACACCCTCACAAATTCTATGCTAAGGATTCGAACCATTCGTCGTGAACGTATCAAATTAAACCATGTGATATCCTACTTGTACATGTGTGTTAAGGTTCATTCCTATGTATGGGAAGTGTATCAAATGTGGTTTAGGGTCATCGGGGACCTCTGACACCAAGTCAAGTTCAAAGCATTTCTATCGGCTAAGTTTTTCATATGAGTTAATATAAGGGTCAACTTGAAATGACAATATCTCTCGGATTATAAAGAGTTATGTGAGCCATTAGACCATGCCCTATCATATTAAAGGTTTACGAGTCTTCTTTTCAACGCCACCAACCGTTCGTCAATCGGAGTCCGGAGTAAAAAGTTGTGGCTAATTTACTAGAGACACTCCAACCTGACTAACAAGTCCGTTATCAGGTCCGCATCACGGAAAGGAAGCGGACCTCACTATCCACTTGAGTAAAATTTTGTCTACCAACTCCGTGACATGAAGCCAACGCAAACCTGGGCCAAAATTCGCCTTTTTTTTGTGGGGGGGGGGTATTTTTGTCCTAAAAACCTTTGGGGAGTTATCTAAATGGCCCTAAACGTGTAGGAAATCAGTTTTCATAATTAAACCCGCTCATTTAGTCCTAAATTCCTACTACACTCAAGAACATCAAGAAACACCAAGGCTAGGGTTCACCTTCCAAGGTTCTTCATTCAGTTTCATCATCACTATGGTATGTAAGGCTATCTCCACGTGTGTGAACACCTTGTTCTTCCCTACGAACTGCGTTTCTATGGTAGGCAGATGTCTCACCCTCCCAAAGCCTCCTCTTTGTTGTGACAACTTAGGGACTTATATGTCTTTCTTTGGATTTGGCTTTGCAATTAAAACGAGAGATTACAAGGTTGTGAAGACTAAGGATGACCTATGCTCGTGGTGATGGTGGGTACTTGGTGCCGCCTAAGGTTGAGATATATGCACTTAGTTTAAGAATTTGGAAGGAATTTGATGGTTTTATTCCATACATTGGTGTTGTAGAGTACTTCTGGCCACAAGTTGTGGTTTGTGGGTAACTCCACTGGACTGCATACAAAAGAACTAGGGAGGGAAGGGTGAACAACTGAATAATGGTGTTTGACCTGAATAAGGAAGTCAGCCGCCAGTTACTCACCAATTAGCTACACATTTTTCATACGAATTAGCTCAAATGCGTTGGTAAAGTCAAGCATTACATGGGCACTCAAGTAATGCTGTGAAAGTGAAGAATAGATTGCATCAAAATGCTACAAGAATTGAACTTGTAGACTTTCATTCAAGAAACACTAATAGATCAAAGTGAAACTGGATAAAAGCCTATATTCCCTCACAAAGTGCTGTGATAGGGTTTGTCCAATCTTAGAACAAACAAAACAATCCCCCTCCCCAAACCAAATATTTATAATCGAAAAAAGGCCAATATGACATCAAGCTGATCATTACATCGTCACATTCAATTTAAGTTTAGGAATATGCATAATCAGATACAACAGTGGCCACTACCTTTCTTTTTGTTTCATTTTTTTTTCTTGTACCAACAGTTATGGATGGCTATTTACTCACTGGAATGGTAGACTCACCCTCACTATCATGTTTTACAGATTTAAAGTTGGCTATGGAGACGAACCAGTAGCAGCCATTACTTCCAGCATTGGTGAGCCCCAGTTCTCCTTCTATGGATTAGAAGTGATTAGCAATGTAATTTAGGAGCCAGAAGTGGTCACATAGGAAATTTTGAGTGTCTATAAAGTACTTAATAGTACTACTAGAGTAAGAAGGAGATCAATTCGAATGCCTTTTCCAAAGAAGGAGAATGAGCCTATAATCAAAGTTCCAGACTCTAAAAAAAGAATAGGTACAGTAACATAGATACGTTGAGAGTGATTAGAAGTGTAATTAAAGGAGAGAAGTGATCACATAGGGAATTTTGAGTGTCTATCAAGTATTTCATAGCACTACTAGAGTAAGAAGGAGATCAATTCGAATGCCTTTTCCAAAGAAGGAGAATGAGCATATAATCAAAGTTCCAGACTCTAAAAAAAGAATAGGTACAGTAACATAGATACGTTGAGAGTGATTAGCAATGTAATTAAAGGAGAGAAGTGATCACATAGGAAATTTTGAGTGTCTATCAAGTATTTCATAGCACTACTAGAGTAAGAAGGAGATCAATTCGAATGCCTTTTCCAAAGAAGGAGAATGAGCATATAATCAAAGTTCCAGACTCTAAAAAAAGAATAGGTACAGTAACATAGATACGTTGAGAGTGATTAGCAATGTAATTAAAGGAGAGAAGTGATCACATAGGAAATTTTGAGTGTCTATCAAGTATTTCATAGCACTACCAGAGGAAGCAAGTAGATCGCTTCAATGCCCTCCCGGGCTTCCCAACGAATGAGGCTACGCGTATAAATCAAGGTTCCAGGGCTCTGACAATTTCAATCTGGCTTTTTATACAAAAATGTTTGGCCTACTGTGAAGCAGGCTTGCTAGGCTCTCAATCACTTTCATCAATTTTTGTTTAGGATTAATCCAACAACATTGATGCATCTCAAATTATCAGCCCTTTCCAAAAATGCATGCATCATGATCTCAATATCGGAGTCCGGAGATTTTCCTTATTCTCTTTGTAAATCGGATCAAGATTAGCTTCTTCTACAGCAACTTACAAACATCTCAAAGGGAGGAATAAGATTTCCTGCCTCTAAAAGGAAATCCAAATAATTGAAAAAAATAATCCTCCATATGACTTTGAAGTTACAGAAATGAGCAGTTTGAGTTTTTCTCCATACTTATATGCTCTCTGCCCTTGCGCACATTTGGTGAATTATCATATGGCACCAGTTTGACAACAATGATAGATCTGTATATGTTGGTTCCCATCAAAATGACATTGCCTTCCCAGCAACGCAACATGTTTCCCTTCATGGACGTCATCACTAAAAGTCAGATTCCTTCATGTCTAGCAATAGAGGCTCTAGGTCTTTTCACAACTTTCAAGGTTCACGATGTTATGTATACAATGTGATGGATTTTAGATTTCGGATAAGAATATCAACTACAAAATATGATCTTTTTTATGACAATGTTGTCCAGGCGAGCTCGAGCGCGCCTTACTATTCCGTCGGTACCTATTACCTCACACCAGCACAGGTGTCGGTATCTCTATTGGCAAAAGCTTAGGCAGATAGAAAGAATCACCTAGGGTTCTCTCAATACAAGAAAATCTCTTTTTTTAAAAGGCTCTATGCAAGAGAATCTCTCAGGAAGGTGATGACATTATTTGGACTAGAAATTGCTTGTTGATACTGAAGAATGAAGAATTGAAGATTGTCAAAATTTGTGCATGTGGGGAGAGGAAGGAGAATCTTGATTTCAGCATGTATAAATAAATTCTAAGAAGAAACGAAGAGCATTCCAGAACAGACACTATCAGTGATCTCAAAAAAAAGACAAAAGCTCAGGCCAGAGGCCACAAGACTTATAAGAAGGCTGGTTGATTTGAACCAGCAAGGACAAGAGTAGAAATCAAGTAACAACTCGCATTATAGATCTAATCGCCAATTAACCTATTAAGCAGGAAGAAAGATGACGGAATGGTGCATATAACATGTTCCGATTTAAGACTTCTTATAAATTACCTGGATGGATTGAGCAATCTGAGTGACAAAAGCAGTAGGAAATTTCAAATCCTTCACAGTTCTCCTCGCAAACACCACCACTTCTGAGTCAGGATCTGTAATTAAGAAGTTCAAAGAGGGGCAGCAGCTTGGTCAGTTCAAGGTGATATTAAGTAAACTACAATTTTTCCTTCTCTAAAAGTGATCAACAGAACCATTCACTATATAGACAATATATCTATGGCTTTGTATACGAAGCATCACATCGGAAAAAGCAATTTAGTACAAAAGTTATCAAATATCAGAGTTTGCAGAGGTTTCAAGCTATCCTTTGCCAGAACATAAGCCCTATAACATTACTCTTGGTTTTTCAAGATAGCACTCAGCAAAGGTCATCAGTTATAAAGCCATTTTCAAGGATCAAGCACCCTAGATCCAATTTTTAATTTTTGAACACACCAGAGCATCCCTTAGGTTGCTAACTTTTCTTGTGAAGTCTTCAGAGCACTGTAAAGTCACCTGGAAATAGTTATTAGTGTCTAAAAATAAAAATAAAAAGCCATGGACCCGAATTCCATTGTTCGCCAACTATTTTCCAGATATTGCCTTCAATATCATAGCACCTCCCAAATGAAAAAGTCACTTGTTTTGTATCCCTTACCTGGAACTAGCATGTTTACCCAACTTGTTCACAAAATTTGCTCATTAATTATTTCTTATCATTGTTATCAGAAACCAAAATTTTCATTTGGACAGTACAAGTGAGCTGTGGTAACATTCAGCATTTAGAATAAAAGATTTGAACCTTGATCGGGAACTAACTAAAAGCATCAAATAATGGTTGCAAGAAAACAGCTAACTGCTTAGTAGGGTACAATGCAGGAGCATGAAATCATTTCCTGTATTACATAAATGTTAAAAACCAAATAGATGAAAGCTTACCACTTGCGTTCCAAGTAAAAGCATCTTTAAATCTTTTACCATCAATTTCGATGTCGAGACGGATAGGTACAAGATTCTCGGCTGTTGGCCTGTAATATAGATATAACTTTTGTTAAACATTAGGAACAAATCATTTCTTATACCATCACATGTATGTATGTATATTAAAATTGAAAGGAAGAGAAAGATGAACAAGACGGTTACAGTCTGAACTTCACTGGGTTCTTCAGTGAACCCGATGCCGAAGGGGGTTTCATCACTGCTTCTTTCAATCTGAAAACAAAAACATAATCTGAAAGAAAGGAATCTGGCTAAGCTTTTCTTCTATACAACAATTGCAACTAATAAACTTAGATAATGTAATTACAACATTCAGATTGAGAATTAATATAGCAAATAGTAATGCATCTTAACTTGTTGTGAGCAAATTCACAGTTATTATTTTGACACTTCACATTGCGAAAAGGATTTAGGGCTTTCTGTCAACTGAATACAAGCATCATATATAGAATACGATGTCGGCGGGAGGAAATCGCGGAGGACGTCGCCGGAGAAAAACATAACGAAACTACCATTTGAAATTGGTTTTCCCGTTCAGAAATTTGGATGTATTATTAAAATCAAATATTTATAAACTGCGGTTATTTAAATCTCATAGTCTTAAATTAAATTAAAAATATATTTAATATATCAAAATATACTTTTATTTTATATGCTTAAACATGCCGTCCAAAAAGTCAAAATTAAGGAGTTGATTGATAAAAAGAGATAGGTGCATGTTGTTTTAAACGGATAATCAAAATAAAATGGATAAACAAATTGAAATGGAAAAGACATACTTTAAGGGATCGTTTGGTTTGATAGAGTGTATAAGAATAATGCAAAATAGGGTGCATTAGTAATGCTTGCATTAGTAGTGCTTGTATTAGTAATGTTTGCATTAGTTATGCAAACATTATTTCTTATACACTGTTTGATTTGATGTATTAGAAATAACAAATCTTGCATAATTTTTATTTAAAAATATATGTTTACAAAAATACCCTTCACACTTTATTTATTTTTACACTCCCTTGCAACAAAGTTCTCTGCTAAAACATCATTAACTCCTCTTCTTCTTCTTTTCAAAAATAATATTAAATAGTTGTACTATTTGAGTCAAAATGTTTTTGTGAAAAGTTGGCAAATAATTTTTTTATCAAATTTATCGCCACAATAGTAAATTTTTTTATTAAATTATGTTGAAATTAGATTATTTATAAAAAAAAAGGATATTTAAGAGGCCATAAAGTCTATTAAGACACCAACAAATTAAAAGACATTGAAAAACAAATAAAAATAAAAATAAAAATAAAAACATATGACAAAGAAAGAAAATGAAAAAAAGAGAAAATGTTAGGAAATGTTTTAAAAAGGCTATGAGGGTAGTTTTGTAATTATTTAATCTTAATGCAAGTGTTAAATGCTATGTATTACTAATACCTAGAATTACTTGGTATTAGTAATACACAACTTAATACACAATGGAGTGTATAACTAATGCAAGCATTAGTTATACATGGCAAGAAAAAGTGTACCAAACAAGGTACTACTAATACACACACCTAATGCATGCATTATATTTCCTAATACACTCTACCAAACGACTCCTAAGTGATTTAGTTATCTACATAATAATTAAGTTTTTTTTTTAACATGGGAGGGATTGTTTGATAGTTAGTTTGAAGGTGAGTTATGCAAATTTTAATTTATTTTGCTACTTATACCATGTTTGATGGCTGGTTAAGAGATAAATTGTTCATGTATAATACCTAATATACGTATAAATTATGAGGGAATTTATGTATTTATTTTATACAAAAGAGAATATGAAATAACTAATACATGAATAATAATTCTATACATCATTAATATCTATATAAAATAATACATAAATTTTCACATAATTAATAATCTTAATTTTTATGTAATGACCTAGAAGGTCATTTTTGGTTTTTTCATAAAATTATCATTATACCACTCCCAATATTGATCCCGAGTCATTTCTGAATGGATTTTGAAATTGGTTTTGAGTGAAAAGTTGTGAATTACGAAATTTTTTAGAGTTTTGAAAGGCTAAGTTGTTAAAAAGTGGGTTTTGGTGTCTTTTGGAGTTTCGAGTCTCGGAATAGAGTTTTGTCGATTCCATTAGTTCTAAAATATGTAAATTGGTTCCAAGAGAGTTATCGATTTCAGATTCGGAGTCTTTTCGTGGATCTGAGGTCCTAAATTGGAAATTTGTGAAATTTTAGCCTTTGGTTTGACTTTGGTCAATATTCGGGATTTGGATGCTCGAATTGGATTTTCGATAGTTTTGTTGGATTCAAGGAATGATTTTAGTCGTAGGAGAGGTTTTGGTTGAATTTTCAGAGGTCCTAAGCTTGATTTGGCTTTGAGTGTTACCAATGAAGGGTGTGATGAGGTTTGGGAAGAAGGGCACGCTTAACCCTAGATTCAACGACCCTTTTGAGATTTTGAGTCGAGTGGGAAATGTGGCTTATAAGTTTGACTTGCCACCTAGCTTGTCAGTTGTGCATCATATGTTTCATATCTCCATGCCTCGAAAGTATGTGCTAGATAATTCTCATGTGCTTTCTCTTGATTCAGTTGTGTTGGATCCAGATTTGTCATTTGAGGAGGAGTCTATAACCATCCTGGATAGGCAGATTCGAAAGCTTAGGACGAAGGAGATTGCTTCAGTGAAGGTGCAGTGGAAGCACCATTCAGTTGGTGAGGCAACTTGGGAGAAGAAGTCTGACATAGGTGCCAGATATCCTCATCTTTTCGAGGCTTCAGGTACTTTCTTTTATTTTATGTTCGAGTACCAACATGGTTTTAGTGATGGATAATGTAATGATCGAAAAGTTATTTTTGGAATTTTTCATAAAATTATTATTTTTCCTCTCTCGATATTGACCTCGAGTCATTTTTGAATGGATTGTGGAATTGATTTTGAGTGAAAAGTTGTGAATTATGGAAATTTTAGAGTTTTGAAAGGCTAAGTTGTTAAGAAGTGATTTTGGTGTCTTTTGGATTTTCGAGTCTATGAATGTTATTCCTTCGATTCCATCCATTCTGGAATGTGGAAATTGGTTTATGAGAGTTGTAGGTTTCATATTTGGAGTGGATTTGAGGTTCTAAGTTGGAAATTTGTAAAATTTTAGCCTATGGATTGACTTTGATCAACATTCGGGGTTTGGATGTTCGAATCGAATTTCCAACAGCTTCGTTGGATTTAGGCGTGATTTTAGGCATATTGTAACATCCGATAATTTGAAATAGCTAAGAAGAGGCTTGAAATTTGAAAAGGTAAGTTTTTGGCCAACTTTGGGCAGTCATAACTTCCAGCTCAGGATGAGTTAGGAGTAGTTCCAATTATGGTTGTGAAGCTTGTGGAACGATCTTTCCAACGCCACCGAGTTTGCTCAATTCCGAGTTCGTATGAGCGAGTTATGCCCTTTAGAAGTTGGGCAGTTGGAAGGGAAATCTGTCCGAAAAATTAAGGGCATTTTGGTCTTTTCACAAATCTTTTCTTTTGAGGTTATATTGTTGTGTTGGGCTGATGGTGGATCATTTTTGTTCCATTTTAAAAGAG